TCGCTATCTTCCTATATTTCTTCCTTAGAGCGTTAATCTAGAGTTTCTAGTATCTTAGGTCGCTAAGTGCTAATTATATTAATAGTTCGTCGTTCCCTCGGCTTCTAGGGAAACTATCTAGTATCTTCCTTACTACTATAGTGCCCTCTATACTAATCGTTATAATAGAATATCTAATAAAGGAATCTATATAGTACTTCTTTCTTTTCTTCGACCTATACTAACTCCTATCCTTCTTCCTTTAGTACGCCTTCGCTATCTTCTACGGGTTCGCTAGCCTTATTAGTAGCAGTATTCTGTTCCTATAGAAACTACTTAGAGTTGTCTACTTTACTAGTAACTAGCCTCTTACTAAAGTCTTATAGCGTTCCCTATCCTCTATTATCTTTCGAAGGTTGTTATAAGGTTGTTACCTTACGCTTCCTAGGTTTTCCTAGTATTATATTAAATTGTAGCCGCTATACCTTATTCTTAGCGCTATAATCCCTTGCTATGTAGCCTTCTTTACTATATATATAATACGTAATCGCTTTCTTTCCTCTAGAGTATAGTTTCTTGCCGTTCTTGCTACAGCCACTCTTAGAGTTTCCTTTCTTTATTATATCTAAGTATATAGGGGCTGCCCCTAGTCTATATAGGTCGGTATAACATAGCTGATTCCTACCTTAATTCTTCTAACTATATAGAGGGTACTAGAGGTTAAACTTACGGCCTTTCTCTATTACGCGTTCGTAAAGCTTGTCGTTAATTATAATAGAGGCTCTAATTAACTAGTCTAGTTCCTCGGTAACGCCCCTATATCTTATTAGTTCGTCCTTAACCTAATCCTTTAGGCCTCGGTAATATATAGTATATAGGGCTACGTTGTCCTAGTTAGTAAGTTATAAGTACTCCTTAAACTAGGTTATATAGTCCGACGTAGACTTAGTCTACTTAATACCTTAAATAATACGAACTATATTCTCGACTTTGTTAGAGATTGCGAAGACTTGTTATAAGATTGTCTTAAGTCCTACGAATACTTTAAAGATCCTAGTAATATCTTCGTTACGTCCCGGGTTACTATCGAGGTACTTAGTAAGGTATAGTTTAAGGTAGTACTAAGCACGGCCTCGAAGAAAGGCTATTACAAACAGACTTCGCTTTATAGGCTCTATAGAGTTAAACTCGAAGAAGATATATATCTAGTTAAACTAGTCGTCGAGTTTCTCTTAGTCTCTATAGTACAAGTCGGGTTTAGCGACCTTTACGTCGTCGTTAGACCGATTATAGTTAGTAGAGTATACTATATTAGTACCTCCTACTTTACTAGAGGTAGGGGTGCCCTACTTAGGTCTTCTAGTAACAGACATCCTTAAGGGTATTTAAAGTGTTATATGCCGTTATACTTACATAATAGAGGTTAGGTAATTCTGTCGTTACAAGTAGGGTTAGTACTCGTTAGGTAGTCTAGTAGTCGACAGTGAAGTGTTACTTAGCTAAAGTATAATCGATATAAGAGATCGGAATAAGGTAATAAGTTAATTCTAATTAGTCGGTTTATAATATAAGTTAAACACGAACTCTTAACTACGAAATCTATCGCTGTTATATATATAAGGAGATTTGTGTTCTTGTTCTTAATTAGTGTGATTACTGTAATTAGTGTCCCTAATTACTCTAATTAACTAATTACGTCTAATTAGTGCTATAGCTTGCCCTATTGCCTAATTATTCTATATTATATGTCCTGCTAAGTATATATAGTACTAGTAGGCTGTAACATTAAACTTATAGCCTTTCTCTATTATATATTTATAAAGCTTATTATTAATTATAATAGAGGTCCTAATTAACTAGTCTAGTTCCTTAGTAATACCTCTATATCTTATTAGTTTATCCTTAACCTAATCCTTTAGGCCTTAGTAATATATAGTATATAGGGCTATATTATTCTAGTTAGTAAGTTATAAGTACTTCTTAAACTAGGTTATATAGTCTAATATAGACTTAGTCTACTTAATGCCTTAAATAACGCGAACTATATTCTCGACTTTATTAGAGATTATAAAGACTTATTATAAGATTGTCTTAAGTCTTATAAATACTCTAAAGATCCTAGTAATATCTTTATTATATCCTAGGTTACTATCGAGGTACTTAGTAAGATATAGTTTAAGGTAGTACTAAGTATAGCCTCGAAGGAAGGCTATTATAAATAGACTTCGCTTTATAGGCTCTATAGAGTTAAACTCGAAAAAGATATATATCTAGTTAAACTAGTTATTAAGTTTCTCTTAGTCTCTATAATATAAGTCGGGTTTAGCGACTTTTATATTGTCGTTAGACCGATTATAGTTAGTAGAGTATACTATATTAGTACCTCCTACTTTACTAGGGGTAGAGGTACTCTACTTAGATCTTTTAGTAATAGATATTCTTAAGGGTATTTAAAGTGTTATATACTATTATACTTATATAATATAAGTTAGGTAATTCTATTATTATAAGTAGAGTTAGTACTTATTAGATAGTCTAGTAGTCGATAGTAAAGTGTTACTTAGCTAAAGTATAATCGATATAAGAGATTAGAATAAGATAATAAGTTAATTCTAATTAGTCGGTTTATAATATAAGTTAAATATAAACTCCTAACTATAGAATCTATTATAAATATATATAAAGGAGATTTATATCTTATTCTTAGATTAGTATAATTAATATAATTAGTAGCCCTAATTAAGCTAATTAACTAATTAAAGTTCTAATTAGTACTATAGCTTGTCCTACTATCTAATTATTCTATAGTATTCGTTTAGCTAAGTATTCTAGATACTAGCAGGCTATAACAACTATAAAATAAATATTATAGTATAAAATTTTATTATATAGTCTTAAAATAAATTATTAAGTTTAAAAATATATCTTTAGCCTATTATATATATTTTTAGTCTAAAAATATT